AACCCTCAAACCCTAAGCCCTAAAACCCTAAAACCCTAAACCCTAAAACCCTAAAGCCCAAAGAAAGGCTCAACACCATGCAGCTGGAGCCTAAACCCTAAAGCCCTAAAGCCCTAAAGCCCTAAAGCAGCTGGAGCCTGACGCCGCTCCCTCACTGAGCCCAGCTGCAGCAAGAGATCCTGGCTCAGGACCTGGAGTTCCTGGTCAGAGGATTCTGGTCTTAGGGTTGACTTAGGGTATATATAAATATAAATAAATAAATAAATATATATATATATTTTTTCTTGTTAATTTATCTATTTACCTATTTATTTTTAGATGTATATCTATATCTACAAATATATCTTTGCTCCCCCCCCCCACCACCAAGATCCACGTCTGCAGGTTTCGAGATTCTGGAATTCCTGATTCCCGGCTCTCTGGTTTCCAGATTCCAGATTTGTACGCTCTAAGCTTCCAGAGCTTCCAGATTCCAGATTTGCGCACCCTAAGTTTTCCAGATTCCAGACTTCCAGAAATCTATAATCTGGAAACCTGGACTCTGTTGGCTTTGTCAGTACGCGCAACTCTGGATATGTATGCCTGTTCTGGCAGCACGCGAAAATCACAACCGACTACAGGGACACTGGTTTAATCATATGGTCCCTATGCGCTGAAGCCCCGCCTATACCAGGAGTTAGGTTTGGTTGTTAGAATATAGATCCAATGGAGGTGTAGGGTGTGCGGGTTGCCTTGCCTCCAGGCGTACGGTGGGCACGGTGGTAAAAACGGTAACGAGGTTAAGTAATATCCAGATGTAGTGGCGCGTAACAAGCATTGGCAGCTTGTTTGTACTTCTGTCTTTCAGGGTCCAGTCAAGTCGGCGACTAGCACATGACGGAGGCCTGTCTTTCCTCAGTCTTGTTGGAGTAGCAAGATCAATCTTGGCCCGTATTGTTGTAACTCCGAATTCATCACTCCAAACCCCGAAATCTAGAGTCTCGAGATGCAGTCCTATGAAAATTGAGCCCAGGACTCTGATACCATTAGGACGACTAAACCCTAAACCGCCAACATCCGTAAACCCTGAAGACAAGAAGTGTTTCGGGTTTAGGCAAACCCCACACCTTACCACCCTAAACCCTAAACCCTAAACCCTAGAACCTTTAACCCTAAACCCTAAACCCTAAACCCTAAACCCTAAACCTAAAACCCTAAACCCTAAACCCTAAACCCTAGAACCTTTAACCCTAAAGCCAGCCTGAGCATGGCTCTCGACGGGGGTCAGCCCGCTGCTTTGCCTGTCTCCTTCTCCGCAGACTGCCTCTAAGACTGAGGGTACAGATTAGGCGCCTTAACAAAGAGAACAGCGTTACTTAAAGCTTGGGTTTACTATGTACAAGATTGGTGGCTTCAAGCCTTCTTAGGGGCCTCGGGCCTTGGGCTTAAGGGTTTGGGAGTTTGAGGGTTTCGGGCTTGAGGTGGTTAGTGGGTTAAGAAGAATCGCACATGTGCTTCTGTACGAGGGCATTTCTGAACATAATAGCAGCAACAACCACTCTGCTCTGGATCTTGCTAATAAAATGAGGGTGCGCGAAAACCCCCATCCATTTGCTTGACCCTTAACAGGGTTATCGTGTTTAGCCCTGATCGTTTTACAGGACTTTGGGACTGTATGATCTGAGCAAATGTTACGAACATTCGTTATCGTTTGTTATACTCTTATCGTTTCACAAGGAATTCGGTTGCTCTCGACGTACGGACGCATCTACTTAAACAAAAATGCTCTTGGGGGGTTTGATGATCCCTCAAATCTCAACAACGAAACACGCCCAAGCCCGATATCTAAACTCCTAACCCAAAACCCTAAACCCTAAAACCGCCAAAACCCTAAACCCTAAACTCCTAACCCCTATCAAACCTGAAACCACATCTCGGATCTAAGCAGACGGGGGTTTCCCAAAAATAGGGACCCCCCCCAAAAAGTACCCCAAATAGTAGGATCCCTATTATAAGGACCCCAAAATAAGGTACCCCCTATTTTTATGGGGTCCTTATAATAAGGATCCTATTATTCAGGGTACTATATTCGGGTCCCCTATTTTTGGAAACCCCATACCTGACCAAGACCAAGATCAGCCTTGCTCTCCGTGGAAGCGACTTCGCAGCTTGGCCTGTCTCCCGCTTCCGGGCACGCCTGCAAGACTCAGGGTTTAGGGTTGAGGGTTTAGGGTTTAGGGTTGAGGGTTTAGGGAGGAGGGCTTTTAGGGTCTAGGGTTTAGGGTTAGGGTAAGACTCACCCTAAACTGCCAGGTACCTACACTATAGGGTACTAGAGCCCTAAGGGCCCTATGTAGTAGGTACCTGGAGGGTTAGGGTCAGGGTTTAGGGTTTAGGGGGGAGGGGCAAAAAAGAGCTTGAGGGTTTGTTTTTATAAGGGCTTATAGGGTTCAAGCAGGGCTTGGGACTTAACTCGGGTTTGAGGCTTAACCAGGGTTGAGGGTTTAGGGTTCTAGGCTTCAGGGACTGACTGGTCGGTAGGTGCGGGCCTCTAGCTTACGATTCCATTCCTGGGTAGTTGTCATGGCTTCTTGTGTCAACAGATTCAGAAGTGTTGTAGACAAGGTTCTGCAAAAGCGGCATGCAGCTGTGCAGCTTTCGCTCACCTCTCTCTCTGTCTCTCTGTCTCTTT